TTGATTGCCTCATATTTCGGCAGTTTAAAATATTACGAGCCACTCATTGAACACAGCTACGCATATCGTCGTTTAATGTACAAAACCGCGTATCAACAAATTGCAAAACCGCGTATGTGAGGTTGCATAAATTATTTTCTAGAGAGTAAAAGCACTCATATTTCAAAATGGTTCTCTTTTTTATATAGCAATCGCAATTTGGCAGCAAATGTCAGTTACGCGGCTTTATACTTTAAACGACGATACGTATATACATATTTACATATGTACATAAGTTCGCGTAGACCTCTCGTCGCCTGGGTAATAGATTGTCGTAGGTTAATTTCGGCAGGCTTTGGGAAATCGATGCTAAATGCTTGAAACACAATACCCGGCGAACGGCAAATTTCGTCCAGCAGAGCGATGCCGACGACCAACTTTCGCCCAGCTAATTCGCTTACTGAAACACAAATAGAGCGGTATCGAGCGGTTCGAATGCTGTCAGCTGATAAGGTGACCATGTTTCAAGAAGGAAGCTTTTACAACGAAGAGGGAAAATACCAGCAAAAATAAGTTTAAAATATAGAAATAGTCTTTAAATATAACTACTAGTAAACTTACGTTTTACTAGATTAATCTCTGATAGAAAAATATAAGGTATATTATTTTACTTTTAAACAAAAATTACGATAACTTTTAAAGTATGGTCATCATGGCCTTTTTTTGTCGTTGCCGTTGACCGCGGCGATAGAAATAAATCTATCGTCGCGAACAGTCGTCGAACAAACTTCGTCGTTTGCTTTGGTTGTGCGCGTTCTCATATAAATCAGTGTGTTTTAATTATCTCGGCGAACATTCGCGACGAAAAATTTGCCGTTCGCCGGTGTTGTGCTTCAGCTTAAAAGTTCAGTCACAATTTCTCTGTACAGTCGTGTTTTACCAAAATTTAATGCTTGATTGTATGTACATACTATTTAAGGTAAAAAACCATATTTTCTTAAAATTTCATCAACTGATATATGTAGCTTTTACAGCCACTTTTTTATAAAATCATTTTGTCGTATGTTACATTTTCACGTTACACTCTAGCCAGCTGTATGACATACTACAAATCAAGGCATAACAAGGTAGAAGTGATTTCGACATTTCTCTCTTTTGAACTGCGCCTGAAATGTCAACTCTTAACCCTATACTATTCAAAATTTTTATTTTTTTTTTTAAATTTTCAATTGTGTGACTGATTTTTAATTCATAATAAAATGAAAAGGAATTACGTGCGGTGCGTTGTGTTTGCTAAGAGCCAGGACAACAAACTTGTGCGTTATTTTAAACCTCCGAATTGTCAAGTGAAGCGACAACGAGGTGCAAATTGCTGCGAAGATTCATTAGGAGACTCTTCACGTGTGCGTGTGACTTTATTTGATGCCCATCGCAGCCGAGTATTTCTAAGCGGACGCGTTTGTTGCCAGGTGCAGGATGTATCATACCGAATATGAAAAGAAAATCCCCAACTCATATACATGGATAGACCAAATTTCAAATGGTGGTCTTATAAAACCTAAATAAAAATTCCTTGTCAACATAAAGAAACTGAAAGTAATCTTTAATAAATTTAATGGAAAGAAAATTTCGAATTGCAAAAATTTAATAGCTAAATTTTTGAAGTTAATTTCTGATTTAAATTTAGAAGAATCGAACTTTTTTTTAATGTCTAATATACTTAAGAATTAAGTTTTTGAATAAAAGAATAAATGCTCAAACAGATTGGGATAGTAAAATGCAAGAAAATTATCAAAACGGTTTTATAAATAAGTGTTTTTCATTTTATAAATAAGTGTATTTCATTTAGTGAGTAATTTTGTGAAAATGCAATAACTAAAATGAGGCTGATTCTAATAAGATTTTATATATTTTGATATTTACAAAAACCTTCATTTCAAAGATATTGAGTTTTATCAAATGTGGTAAATATATATCAAAGGATTGATTTCTTTGTTTACATTTTCTGACATTACAGTCAGCTATGAGAGATACTTATGCCTTTCTACAAATCACACACACAGCAAGTAAGCAAAAGTATGAAATTGTTGAAATCATTTTTTGCTCGTACGCAAAAAATTTTTCTAATACACCTGAGATATAAATTAATGAATAAAACTCAACAAAATATTAAACAATTTGTCAACAAGTGTTGCCGTAGCAAATGCGACTATCCATTGTATAGAATTGGTGTAATTTTGTCGGAAGTACCATACAATTTGTCACATAAGACCATATTTTAACAAGTTGATGAAGTTGATTATCAAACGGTGACAGGTGACAAGATCAACGGAAATAAGGTCAATTGACTTTATTTCGCACCATGGTGGGAAATAAAGTCAATTGACCTCATTTCCGTTGAACTTGTTACCTGTCACCCATCAAACTGTATGCAAATTTTATCGTATGTGAAGTTTTTCGTCACATACAACAAAATATTGACCAAGTCGATTGCAAACTTGCAAATACGACAAAAGTTTACTCAATATTTCAAGTATTTTTGCAAGGCAATTTCGAAAATTTTTTGGCCGCAGTTTTTTTTAATTTTTCGGGTATATTAGGTAATTTTTTTTTTAATAGTTCCACTTTATAGTCGAAACAATTCATCTGCATAAGTGTAATGATTTTTGGTGAGCTTACTAACTTTAGAATGGTAATGGTAAATGGCTGATAAGAGCTGAGATCTGGTGGGTAAGTAAGAGTACGGGGTACTTGAGGAAAAATGTAAAAGGGGTACCCCAACATTCAGCAAAAAAAAAAAAAAACGTTTTGAAATTGCCTTGAAAAAATTCTTTAGACTCACCGATGTACGTTGCATTTTTTTCGCTGGTACATTCTAATGTAGCTCATACACATTTGAGCATACATACATACGATTTCATTGTTCACATACGTTTTCTACATGCACACAAACCTTAATTTTATGTACACCTTTTTATATTTTCGTAACAAAACAAAAGAAAGATGAATTTTATGTACATATTCAAAGCAAAAAACAAAGTTGAGTATTAAGGCAATTTTGTTTTTAAATGATTTTTTTATTTAATTCCTTTTTGGTTTTAAGAATTTTGTTTGAAAGGGGAATTTTCTGCTAATTTCTTTGAAAAATAAATAATTAGTTTATTAATAATGAGTTTTTAAAGTGATGGTAAACTAAAAAACAACAACAAGAGAAATACATTTTTTTTATTAAAAAAAAAACTTTCTAACATGTAAATAAGTCTAAGTTCGGGCGAAACCTTTATAAGTAAATAGAATGTATGTATGTAGTGTGTGTAATCGTTAATCGCTGGCGGTGATTACGATTAATTAATCTTAATCATTAATCGTTAATCCAGTTAAAAAGAAAATCTGATTAAGTTGTCTAGTTTGTCCGAATTTGAAACCAAACACCAGTTACAGTAATTATTTCGTGTTTTACGCTTATAAAAAGCACATAATATAAAAAAAATTATAATAATTATTATTAGTAATACATAAACTGGGAGCTTTTACAACCCAGCGCACATGTGCAGAGGGATATTAAAACCTAGTTTGTAAAACGCCTGTTGGAATAGATCTTAATGAAAATGCACACGAAATTGCTTAGATTGATGAGGAAAACCAACTTAGCCATACCCGATTAACTGGCCTTGTGTGCACAGGAAAATTCCATCATAAATTAATTAATCACCAAACCTACTTAATCAAATTAAGGGTTAATAATTAAAAATTCATTTTTTTAATCGTGGTTACGATTAACTGTTTAATCAGATTAAAATTAATCATGATTAACTGTAATCGGATTAAACTTAATCATGATTAACTGTAATCGGATTAAATTTAATCGAGTTAACTAATTGATTAAAAAATCAATCGATTAGTGCCAACACTGGTATATACATATCGTCGTTGAAAGTACAAAACCGCGTATCGTCATTCTGCAAAACCGCGTAACAGACATTTGCTGCCAAAAATTGGATTTGCTCACACAAACTCTTGGCTTAATCCTTATCCATTCATACGGAAATATACTAGCCAGAAATACGATTGCTGGCAAAATATTTTTTTATTTTCACTTTGGTTTCAGCATATTTTGATTAAAATAAAAACACTGATAAAAATAAAATATTTCATACAAACAACAAAAAATATAATCGATAATCGCATAAGACTATTGCCTGAAAATTTTAAAATACACTTAGTGGCATTGGCCACCAAAAATTGAATTTTTTTATTAATAAAAAGTATTTTTTTAATCCTTTTTGAATAAATTACGTCAGATGACTGAACAGTTTAAGCTTAGAAAGTTTGCATAAAAGTATTAAAAAAAATATTCTACGGAATCATAATAACGAGATATTTGATGCTGTTTTTGAACTTTCTTCAAAGACTGGTTTAAGAAAAACTTGAATAACTCAAAACCTTACCAATTTAGACTTATGAGGTAAGGTAGTTTCTCACCCTTTTAATTTCTTTGAGAATATGCTCATTCAAAGTATGAAAGAGGAAGGTAAGATAAACGCGTTTCATTCCATGTTGAATTAAATTGTGTTGGTATTTGATAAAGAAAAATTTGGGACGTGAGTGAGTTTTTTTTTTGCAAAGAAGTAAAAACGGTGAGCGAATACCTTCACACTCATACCTCACAAGTCTATATCGGTAAAGTTTTGGAGCAGTTACAAAATTACCTATTCATGCTTGTGAAACCAAAAAATTTTAATCATATCTTTAAAAGTCCTTTAAAATAAATCCTGGCATCAGAGAGGAAAAATAAAAACGCCACTTTATAAACAAAAGTCGGTTTCAAACCCCTTTATTTATTATTTATTTTATGGTAGGGGAGCTTCTCAAACAATATAGAAGCAATTTTTTTCAATTTGAGTTGTTGAAAAGTAATGAATATATAAATTCCGGGATCCCGGGATCGTACAAAGCGTAAAACAATGCAATAATTTTTTCAAATTGCGCTGGGTTTTCACTACTTTCATAATGGATTAGTTTAAGATAAAATGATTCATGTTTGTAGCAGTAAAGCAACGCCAGCTAGTGTCCATTTGCCAGGCTTATCCTTGGTTTTTAGGTTAAAGGTCCAAACATAAGTGGGACCGCGAGTGCGCGTCTTATACAAAGGACATTCGTACATGTTGCGCAAATCTTGTTTATCCTGTGTAATGGCCTGTAAAAAAAGAAACAACAGAAAAATATTTTAGAGTTAGGCTATAAGTTTCCGTTAAAATATACATATGCATAAAATCATAAATTTAGTAAATAAAAAAAATATAGCCTACGAATGTGGGTATGGATTAAGCCAAGAGTTGGTGTGAGCAAATCCAATTTTTGGCACAAAATGTCTGCTACGCGGTTTTGTACTTTAATCCGAAAATCTCCAACCAGCAGAGGAACGTAAATTTTGACGACAGTGCGGTCTCTAACAATTTTCCGTATCCGGAAACGAAAAGAAAACGACTACAATTGTCGTTTATTTTCGTTTCCGGGGAAAGTTCGAAACGTTCGAAAAAGATTATTGTATTTAAGAGCAATAATTGTATTTCATTTGTTCAATCTGGACATTTGAAAGCACGCATCTGTAATCGTCAGTGGCTGAGCGTGCAGTGGAGCGTGCCACTATTTGTTAGCTTCCAGAAGGTGCGGGACCTCGCATTTGCGGGATTGTATTCCCTGTGTGTTAGTACGTGTGTATGTTTATATGTATATTTAATAGATACAAATTAAATGCAAACATGTGGCGCGCAGAATTTGAATATCATTTGGTTCTGTATGGCGCCAGCATCCAATCACCAGTTTGGAGCCACTTACACTATTTATGTATGTACCTACGTCTACATATGTTTATCGATACCTTAGCGCCATTGCCACGATTTCAAAGACGCCAGATAAATATTTTGTTTTCTCTAATTTCTATTGTAGTTATTAGCAATTCTCTAAGGTTTGCTAATTCGTTCAACGCCACTTACACATGCCTACATATGTATGTACGTTGGGGTGGTCCAAAAATGTATGTGAAAAAGTAAAGTCGTAATTTTTATGCTCTCGAAAAACATATACCCATATTTTTATTTTGAAATAAAAAAAATATTAAGATAGAGGTCGATCAAGACGCTCAAAGTTTTCCATGTATTTTATATGAAAAAAAGAAAACAACTTTTCGTAGGAATAGTATAGAAATCTTGAAAATCAATATTTTTCTGATCGGGAAACTCCGCTTCCCTTCAGGAAATTTCAAATAATAATAACTAAACAATTATTTAACCATTTTTTCACAGTAACTATATTTTATAGGTCCGCCAAANCTGATCGGGAAACTCCGCTTCCCTTCAGGAAATTTCAAATAATAATAACTAAATAATTATTTAACCATTTTTTCACAGTAACTATATTTTATAGGTCCGCCAAAACCCCAGAAAATGCAATGGGGCGATAAATAACAAATCTTCAGTACTAAAAACTCGTTAAATAAACAACTGGGTATTGTTATTGGAAGTCTTCTGCAGAGAGTCAGAGTTCTTCGATATAAAATAAAAATGTTCAATAATTCTATACCGTTTCTACGAAAAATTTAGTTATTCCCATATAAAATACATGGAAAATTTTGAGCGCTTTGAGCGGCCTCTAAATATTTTTTGATTTCAAAATAAAAAAATAGGTATATCTGTTATTCGATATAGAAGAATATTAGGGGGTGTGAGCAGAGCATTAAAATCCACACTTTACTTATTTTGGACCACTCTAATGTACTTACATTGCACGTACTTGTAGACGCCTAGAAAATTGTTGCCCGGTAGCTTGCCATCACTCACGTTCACGCTGGCGGCTTTGGTGGCGTCACTGCCTGTTGACTAGTTTGGTTTGAATCTTTTTAACCTTCGTTTAAATTCTACTCTAAATACATATGTATGTAGATAAATATGTATACGCTAATGTGCATACCTATGTTCGTAACTTTTCGCAAAACGGAAGCATGCCCGCTTGCGTGGTTTGTGAATGTGCAAAAATCTCAAAGGCAGCAAACTCTCTTACCCGTATATTGATGACTGGCAATGGAGGATAGAGCTCTTTCAGTCGCGATTCCATGATAATTCCCTGCTGTATATCCCATCTGGCGCCTTCCATAAATATACCATGAACGTAAGCGCCTTCGCGTGGTGCCGTGCTATAAATAAACACACAGATTTATAAGTACATTCATACATACATACTAGGGTGATTGACTCGGTTTTTCCAAACCGGTTTCCACCGTTTTTTTTTTAATATCTAGAGGTGTTTTTTTGAAATCTTGATTTTTCGAGTATCAAATTAACCGAATTTTTTATCGGACAAACCGGGTTTTTTTATTTCATATAAATATTGACCTCTCAATAAAAATTTTGACTTTTTCGAAGGTTTCCAGTTTAATCCCTAAATAGTTTAAATTTGTATCCTAAGTTATTTGGGGATGAACATTGCAGACAGAGGGTATTGAATATAAGCCCTCGATATGATATGGAGAGATCTTCACTTTTACTCCATCTCCAAAGAATCTATCAGGAGACGTTCAATAATACTCGCAGTAAGCTTATCTTTGCCATTTGACAGTTTTACTAGATTTAGTCCGAGAAGAATGAGCTGGTTCCATATTATAGTTACAAAAGTGGTTCAGGTCTCGTTTTAGAAGTGATATAAATAGAAAAAAAATATTTCAAGAAATTCTAAAAAATTATAAAAATTACAAAAATTTTAAATTTAAAAAGTCCCAAAAGCAAAAACTTAGCTTATATTCATTTTTGGCAAAGTTTTTTTATACAATACCTCGAACCGATCTACAAAGATCTTGAAATTTTCAAGAAGACCTTTTTAACGATATGCATCTTTGAACTATGAAAAAAAATTTACAAACTCTACACAAATTAAATAAAAAAACATTGTCTTGAAAGTTTCAGGATCTTTTACGATCAGTTGGATCATTGTGTAAAAAAAGTTCCTAAAACTTTTACTTCTACGAGTTTTTAATTTCAAAATTCTGCGATTTTTTTTTTATTTTTCGTTTTTTCATTATATATTTTTTCTTTACAACTAGCCCTAAATATCACCATTAAAATGAAAACATAACTTTACTTAAAGTTTGCAAAACAAAAACTTTCTTGAGTTCCAAAAATTCATATCTTTTAAGAAAAGCACCTTTTTGAAAGCTTCAGGACATTTTAAGATCAGTTGGGGGTATTATGTTAACGAATTTCGCCAAAATTTTTTATACATGTTTGCTCTGCCGACCTTTGTAATCTCAAATTTTTTTATATCTTTTTATTTAAATTTATTTTTTTATATGTATATAATTTCAAAAGGCAATAATCACCTGGGTTCAAGCCCTAGTCAAAGCAACATCGCAAAAAAAANACCTCCGAGTGTATTTCTGCCATGAAAAACAGCTTCTCATACAAATACAATCGCCGTTCGGAGTCGGCGTAAAACTGTAGGTCCCTCCGCTTTGTGTGACAACATCAAGGCGCACCCCACAAATCGGAGGAGAAGCTCGGCCAAACACTAACATATGTGTAAGCGCCAATCTATTATTATTATTATTATAATAATCATTTTTGTAACTATAATAGATTTTGTGATATTCAAACAGGAAACTTTCAAAAGCAGAAAATTTAAAAATTTTGAATTTTGCATAACTTTAAACCGGAAGTCGTAAATACCACCAAAAGATAGAGCATCCCCGACGGAGTGATTCATATTTTTTCGTTTTCTAAAACCTTTTCGTCCGTTTCAGAAGTCCAGAACGAGTTGAGCTTCGAAGGTCATTAAGGGGCTAAAAAATGCACTTCCGTCTAATTTAAAAAAATGAACTTCGAAACCAGAAGACTGTACAACCACCAAAAGATAGAGCATCCCCCATTCGGTAGGTCATATTTTTGTGTGTTTTCAATAAAAAACATTTCCCTCCATTTTATAGGGGGTAGAACCACCCGGTCTAGGACACCCCGTGTACTTACATACCTTTGTAAAGTTCTGCACATAAAATAAAGCAGGAATCACACTACATATTTGTTTATCGAGAATGAGTTCCGTTCAATAAAAAAATTGCCAAACAACCCCACTCTGTAACTCTTAAAATGTACAGATCTGTACAAATGTACAAATCGTGATTCCTGCTTGAGTTTGGGAATTTCTAGTCATTGGTAACAAATAAAAAATCATTGTGGCAATGCTGGTTATGATGGTGACGCCTGTGTTACTGCTGACTAGTAAGGTTAATCCCGGCATCCCGGAATCCCGGTCCTTTTAGGATCCGAAAATTGCGTTTTTAGTTTTTCACTCTGACGTCAGTAATTCAAAAATGATTCAAAAAAATATCAGTGAAATGTGCTTAGAGTAGAAGTATGGGTATCAAATTAAGGAGAAAATTCTGTAGAATTTAAACAGATTCAAATTTTTGGGGCATAAAGCCTGATTAGTATTGAAAATGTCCTTAAAAAATTGTATCCTTGAAATTTCGCAATATTTATTTTCGAAAAAATTATATTTTAAGGACTTATGTAAACTCGACAACATCCTCGAATTTCGTCCTTCTAACTTTATCAGCTTAAAAAATAACCTATTCGTCCTTGTGAATCCAAAAAAATTTTTTTTTTTAATTCTAAAGAAATTTCCTCTTGCATTGAATTAAATAATTTTTGGAATTAGTCGTTTCTTTGAAATTACAATGTCCTTTAAAATTAATCCTAGCATCAGGGAGGAAAAATTAAAACGCCACTTTACAAAAATAAATCGGTTTCAAACCACTTTATTTATGATTTATTTTATGGTAGGAGAACTTCCCAAACAATATAGAAGCAATTTTTTCGACTTAAGTTGTTGAAAAGTAATGAATATCTAAATCCCGGGACTAATCCCGGGATCCCGGGATTGAAATAATGGCATCCCGAAAATCCCGGGATTATAAAAAGCGAAAAAATTAACATCCCTACTGCTGACGCTTTGCGATCACGATGATTTTCAGATATTGACGCCTAGTTGTGTTGTCTCGCCATTGATTGGCATCACATTCGGCGTCGTTGCGTTTAATGGCCCGAGGTGTTGGCGGCGTCAACGTCGTCACGGTTCTACTGGCGCGTCTTGCCGCCACCAGCAATTGCGCAAATTTGCTAAGTGATTTGTGTTTTAATTACAGGTCTTGGGGCGCACTAATTGCTATCATCACTGCGATCAGTCAATCAGTCAATCAGTGAACGCATTGTAATTGTTGTTCGATTTACAAGATCGTTTCATCATCGTTTTTGTCTACAAGGGATTCCCTCGACCAGTGATGGGGGAGAGCAAATATTCGAAGAGGGGTATACCTAATAAAATAGAGAAATTTGTGGCTCGTCGGCCTGGCAGCGCAGTTTTAACCGTAAATTACATTTTAAATACAGACGACAACAGCGCTTTGCTTTCGTATATAGGGAAACCAGTTTGGTGTGGAGTTGTACAGATGTAATGATACAAGTAGGCCGTGCGTTTTTGGTCACTTTAGGTATATTTAGATGTATATTTTTTGGTCTGCAATGATTTAGGCAAACATTTCTGATTGCCTTTTATCGGCAGCTCAAAACGCAGAAAAGGGAACTCAGACTACATGCCGTCCGTTTTACTGTTTCGTGTTCTCTTTTAATCTGTTTTAAATTTATACGATTCACGAATATATCGGGGTAGCTTTTTGGGTTCTAAAGAGCTCAAGTCTCTCGACATATCGTTACCAATAGTCTCATAATTTTTACGAAGGTGGGACAGAAGCACAAAAAGTGTTCCGCTGTCTCATTCTCTGAATGGCAGCTACGACAAATGAGGTTTTCATCTATGCCCATCTCAGGTATTTGTGCCACGAGTGCAGCTTGGCTTTCAGTACAGACACCTAAGCTCTTGCTTCTCAACCTATTCTCCACAACATAGTACATGGCCTTGAAGATTGCAAATACCTTGACTTGAAATGCCTGGGATTGAAATACCGAAGCATGTTCCACAAGAGGGAAGAGACTCCAGATCCAGACCCTACGTCAGTTTTGGAGCCATCAGTAAAAATCATACAGGTTTTTTAGCCAACGGGTTGCCTTAACGGCCCTCGTCGGATAAAAATATTAATTAACGGTAGGTTTTTTCTTAACGGCGGTCCTCGGCAGGCATTGGCAAACCTCCGAGTGTATTTCTGCCATGAAAAACAGCTTCTCATAAAAATACAATCGCCGTTCGGAGTCGGCGTAAAACTGTAGGTCCCTCCGCTCTGTGTGACAACATCAAGGCGCACGCCTCAAATCGGAGGAGAAGCTCGGCCAAACACTAACACATGTGTAAGCCCCAATCTATTATTATTATTATTAGGTTTACCAGTGCATCCGGAACGGCCACTGATGGTGTGGGAGAGAGCTCCCAGACCGCAAAAATATATGTTGAAAAAAAAATTGGATTTCGATATCTATTAAGTAAATTTAGGTGGCAACCCTATTCCCAAAATACGCTGGAATGAATGGTATATATCTTGAGCGTATATGTAGTACTGTGTATACATAAAAAACTGCTGATTGAAATTAACAAAATAAAAATTTGTATTACATAGAAGCGTGGCAACCCTGGTGGAAACTGTTTTCTGACAAAAGTTCTCAATAATACCTTTAATTTGATACCCATATTGCGATGTTTCAGATGAATTGCGTTGAATCGAAAATGAGTGGCAACCTTACACTAATATCTTAAGGGATAATATTGTATATAGGGCATTCTTTAAGAACATTCTCTTGGTACCTTTACCCGTTTTTCTAAACAAAAAAATAGTAATAAATATGCGATTGGCCGCTGTGGTGTAGTGGTAAGCTTTCTCTCATCAGCACCTGGGTTCAAGCCCTGGTCAAAGCAACATCGCAAAAATATAGAAAAAGGTTTTTTCTTAACAGCGGTCGTCCCTCGGCAGGCAATGGCAAACCTCCGAGTGTATTTCTGCCATGAAAAACAGCTTCTCATAAAAATACAATCGCCGTTCGGAGTCGGCGTAAAACTGTAGGTCCCTCCGCTCTGTGTGACAACATCAAGGCGCACGCCACAAATCGGAGGAGAAGCTCGGCCAAACACTAACATATGTGTAAGCGCCAATCTATTATTATTATTATTATTAAATATGCGATTTAAAATAGATGGCAA